TGGTAACACTGAACATCACCATACAGCACAAATCAGTGACAGTAAATGTTTATTGTTCAACTATTACAAAAATATATAGCATTAAAAATCAATTTTAATGGTGTGGGGAGTTGAGTCCACATTACAAAACAGCTCACACTCTCCACCTCTGAATAAGCTCAGACATTTGCAGCCGTTACTGTAAATAAAAGCAATAAAAGACGATCAGTATTATGTCAGGTACATGTTTGGTAAGAAGTCGACTAGCTTGTTCAAGCTGTGAAATTCACACAAACTGCCTAATTATCCACGGTGGTGAATCCCAACGACACCAAGTGCAGTTCTTTTCTTTGGTATTTGGCACGTTTGTCCACAGTTTGTCGACTTTGTGTAATTTAAAGATGTTTGAAGCTGAACGATCCTGACTCCTCGGTTACTCTGGGTAACTGACCAGACAGATTCAGGATCTATGATTACAGGAACTTTCCTTTAGTTTTCAGTTGATTAATAAACGTGACAGATTTAGAGTTTAGAAAGCAAGAATACTCATGATTAGCTCAACATTTAGAGTAACTAGCAATGTGAGTATGATTATAAGTATAAAAAGAAATTATTTGTGAAATCACAGAATACTATAAAGAATGTGTGACCTGCAGCAGCAGCAGTCTACGTTACTGTTGGTACTGACTCTGCTTCAGCATTAGTTTCATCTTGTTCTTGTCTTTTTTGTTCTTGTGCTTTTCTGATTAATTTTCTAGATACTTGTTAAGCAAAAGCCAAGTGGAAGACAAGATGCGAATAACCCGGGTTATGATCGAAGACAAAGTGATTCCTTCTTTCTATACTGGCACTCTTGCAGCAGCATGTCCACCGACATTATTTCCTCCCTGAACACCAGCACCAAATGACCACATTCATCACCATCACTAATCCAGCCTCGCAGTGCAATTCTTATAGTTGATTGATTGAATCCAAAGAAGGTCAGCAGGACTCGGTCAGATAATTGTTGGCAATCAAATTCTGTACTTGAGTTTGAGCTCAGGTACAAAACATCTGTGGCGTTGTCTGTCGCACAGTTGTCTATGGTGACTGAGCCGTTGAAGAAAGTGAACATGTAAATGTCATTTCCATCACCTCCAACCAGATAATCTCCACCGGTGGACACCAAGATGTCGTTACCATCTGAGCCTTTGAGAAGAGAACTTTCATAACCAGACACTAAGATGTCCGAATAGATGGTGCCGATCACAGTTTCCACATCCTTCAACACGTCGCCCTCAGCGTCAGCGTAGTGGCCTTGGCCCGTCAGCAGGTTAACATAAACCCCTTCACCCGTCTCATGATCACCCCGATAGAGAACCGAGTCTCTGCCTGGACCTCCGTCCACCAGATCAGCTCCTGGTCCAGGAAGGAAGACGTCCCGGCCAGAGTTTCCCATCAGTGTGTCATTTCCATCTTCACCATAAAGAGTGTCGTCTCCTCTCCCACCAATCAGGATGTCAGCTCCATTTCCTCCTACCAGCGTGTCATCTCCATCACCTCCATCCAAGGCGTCGTCCTTCCACCCACCAATCAGAGCGTTGTCTCGGTTGTTGCCTATTATAACATTAGACTGGGAGGGGCAGCCTTGCACTGTGTGAACCTCTGACAGATTTCCCTGAGCGCTGAGGTCCAAACGACAGTCCACCTGAGACTGTCTGAGAGTCACTTTGAAAGCTTCTACCTGGTAGAAAGAGTCGTCTCCAGATGAGTTTAGAGACTTGAGTTTGAAATGGACGCCATCAGAGCTCTGAAATTCTAGATGCTGATGTTTTTCACCTTTAGCATAATTCCAGAGAACAAATTCAAATCTTTCCTCATTTTTCATGATTGTAACATAAACATCCTCTGATGAGTCCAGTATGACTCGACTTCCATCAAGGAAATCCATATCTACCAGCACAGTGTCAGTTTTCTGATCTTCTGCAAAGTTATCAATGATGACCATGTATTCATCCACATGTTTGATTATGTAAGTGTCTTTGCCTTCCCCTCCTATCATCAGTGCCCCCCCGGTGTGTGGATCCAGTAAATTCTCATTGCTGTTTCCAACCATGATGTCAAATCCTGAGGAGCCGTACATTTCTTTCACTGATTCAACATCTTGTATTTCCATCATTTTCCCCATGAAGTAGTAAGACAAACATCTTTGATATCTCCTTCGCGGTACACACCACTGCATTATTTCTCGATAAAAAAATCGGTTCAGATTTACAAGTCGTTCATTTATTACCTCTTCAACTTCCTGCCAGTACCTGCAGTTTCTTCTACTAAAATAAAACCTTTCAAGACGAGAGTACATTTTCGTTTTATAAAAATAAGGGCATAGATTGTCATAGTTTACTGGAAGACGTTCAGGACTCTGGTTTCTGTAGTCGATGGTTAAAGGCAGCATTAAATCCCGTCCACAGCTGCTGATGTTGGGCTTCAATCCAGCTGTTACTCCATCACTGGTCTTGATCTGCAGGTGCTGATAATTCTTTGACTTAAACCAGTTCTGTAAAATAACAGTTCTTCTGCCCTCCACCTGAACGATGATGCTCTGACCTTCACATCTACATGTTATATGCTGATATTGTTCTTTAAGGAAGAGCAGGTCCAAGGTTAGATCTGGTGATAGATTGTTGATGGTTGTCACTCCTTGTCCTGCTGTGATAACGTACCAGTCCTCTCCTCCTCTCCCCTCAATGAAATCATCTCCTAATCCAGGGACGAGAACGTTGTGTTCTTTGTTTCCTTTGATGACATCGCTATAGTTTGACCCGCGGACCTCTGTCACGCTGTCCAAAGCCTCATCCTTCTCAAGGTCCACCTCCACAGGAGACAGGGAGCTGCTGTAGTCAATGCTGAGGCTCTTTATACATGTGGTGAAGATGTTCCTCTGCAGGCAGTCAGCTTTGTTATCTGACACTGTGAAGGTGATCAGATCCTTTGTGATGAACAGTAAGTGTCTGTGTGCTGATGATCTGAACCAGTTCACTACAGTAACATCAAACACTGTGCTGTCATGTTGAGCCACCAGATGAACATCATCACCTTCTACTCTGACTCCAAACGTATGAAGATTTGCTTCTACGATGGCCAGGTCAGTTTTCTCATCACTGGAGTCATTTTCAATGAACACAGAGGAACGTTTTCTGCCTTTCACCATGTAAATGTCTTCTCCTTCAGCACCAATCAGACGATCTCGCCCTCCTCCTCCATCTATCAGGTTCCTTTCTCCATTTCCAATGACTTCATCATCATACTGAGACCCAAAGATGTTTGTAACTGTGCGTAAAAGTGGCTGTGATGCATCAACAACTGCACCGTGTTTCTCAAACATCTTGTTAATTCCTCTGGCCACCAGCTGAACTGAAGAAACCACCGTGGAGGAAATCTCAAATAAGACTCCGTCTCCTGACATCATGTTCATGTGACGATAATCTTCTCCTGAAAACCAGTTTTGTATTCCTACAGTATGACTGCCCTCATACATCAGCACAACATCGTTTCCTGACTTAGACACAGAAATGTGGCTGTAGTTAACACTGAAAAGCAGAGTGTCTTGTGCTCTGGAGGGATCGTAGTTGTTAATGATCGTTTTCCCTCCATTCTCAGGAATGATGAAAGTGTCTTTACCTCCTGAGCCTTCAACATAACTTCTCTGTGGACCGAGGAAGAACGTGTCATCCCCTGGTTCCCCATGAAGTCTGTAATAGTAACTCAACATGACTTCAATCATGTGTTCGTCCTGTGATTTCTGAACTGCAAAAAATCGATTAGAGTCTCTGTTTCCACTGTATGTCCCGTACCTTGAATAAGAAAGGGTTTCATAACCTGAAACCACTGTCACAGATCCAGCTGGTATGAACATGAGTATTTTTTTTTCATATGTCGTGTGCTCTAATCCATGTGACTCTCCCAGACCAAGAATTATATCTTTGCTTCCATCTGTGTTAATGCTCCAGCATTGTCTTCTTGGACTCTCATCACGAGAAACAAAATAGTCCATGCAGAGCTCAGACTGACCCTCATCAGCGAGGCAGAAGTTAATACCTCCTCCATTCCAGGAGGAGGCGCCAGCAGTAAAATCAATGGCTGTCGTTCCATTCTTTTGCTTTGTGACTTTATAATATTGGTGATAATCTGAGATCTCTGCAACAAGTCTTCGTCCCTCCTCAATTTCATCATAACGCCAGTCAAAAAAGAAACTAGCCACATGTATAGCAAAGTGCATGATCCCTTTTCCAAAGCCAACAAAAACAGCAACTATTTTGTCTAAAACTCCAGCGTCCGCTGGCAGGCTGTTCAGTTCATTCTGGATGCCCATATAAACATCATCAATGACCATCCGCACTACTGATAGAGCCAGATTTATAGGTGCGATGAAAGGTGCCAGTTCAGGCTGAACAAGCTCAACAACATCTAACTCAACCATGTAAATATCTAACGCAGCATCAATGTATCCCAGAGCATCTCCTCTTTTAAAATCTTGTTCTACATTGTAGATCCCAAATCCAATTCCCACTACTGGTATAACTACCATAAAACGCTTCATTGCAGGGCTCCTCATGATCGTTGTTGCAGCTTTTGCGATTCTTGACTCTGAGGTCAGAGCTTTGCTTGCAATAACAGATGTTGTCATAGCCGTCACTCCATGAGCCGTCTGCAAAGACCCCACCACACCATCTTTGATGTTTCCCTCTTCAAAGGCACGAGCAGCTCCTTTCAGTCCCAGCATGAGACCCAGAGCGCCAACAGCAGTTCCAGTCCTCTCTACATACTTGGTAACCTGATGGGAGGATGCTGAACTGTGCTGCTCCATCTCATGCACTGAAGTCTCAATGTTCTCCAACAACTTTTCACTGTAATGTTGACTCTGTGGAGATAAATCAGCCCTGAACTCCTCAGGCTCAGCACCAGCTCTCTCTGACACGAGCTTACATACAAACTGTCCGTTTTCTATTCGGGCCGTTCCCTCCTGAAGGTGCATTCCTGCCAGAGTTTCACCATATTTGTGCTGTAGTGCAGCATGGACGTCTTCAGCCGACGATGCAGATGCTCTCGAGAAATAAGATTCATGTTTGAAGGTATTTTCTAATTCTGAGGCTGAATTCAGGTCTCGCGTTGTGACGTAGCCATCATCGTATCCTCCCAGTGTTCCAGATGTGGAAGGTTGTCTGTCATCTTCAGGTTGTGTTATGACGCTGTTATCTTGTTTGAGCTTTGTTTTGAATACTTTGTATTTATCTTCAAGGTTATTTGAATTATCTGAATTATCCGTCATTGTTTTGTAGGTGTTTGAAAGTTCAGTCATGCGTTCCACCACATCACTTTCACCATTACCAACGGTTTTCTTCCATTCTGTAAAGAAGTTACCCTCTCGTTCAACAAGTTCAACAAGGTAACCCATGAGCTCCTCCTCGGTTTTACGGTTTCGAACATTTCTTAATTTGCTGGAATCTTCAGGTGTTGCTGAGCCTGTGAATCCTCGTCTGCTCGGGTCAATCCAACTGCCTCCTCTTGCCATTGGATGATTGTCAAAGAAAAAATCAAGGCCTTTCTGTCGGATATTATTGTCCTTGCTTTGAACCATATCCAAGGCCATAAGAGTCAGAGGGAATGTTCGGAAATTTCTTGCAGATTCAGATATAACTGTTGCAGTGAAATACGTGGTGAACCAGGCCTCACTGGACAGTCTTTTGTAACCTGTCAGACTTCCTTTAAAAACATCTGGGTGCTCCCCAAGAAAAGTATTTTCTACATATTCAGCATATCTTTGTTTTTGTTGTTGTTTTTCGTCATCATTCATTTTTTCATTGTTTACATTTCTAAAAATCTCGTCTCGCATCTTTGGGTAGCTTTCTTTGCCCGCCTGTTCATTAATACAGTCCTTAATACCATCAATTACATTATTGTCTCCTATTTGATTGTTGTCAAGCTTTTTTCCAACTGGATACACGTACAGACTCCGAGGGTCAACTTCATATATCCAGTCATTGATCTTCAGGTATGTAGTCTTTTCTTCTCCATTCTTTGCATAATGACGTATTATATTTTTTATATCTTTTCCTGATTTGATCTCATAACATTCATTGAGGAGTTGTATTTTTTCACCTTCATCATCTATCCACCTAATACTTTTCTCTTCTCTTTTCCCTATTACATAATCTCTTATTTCTTCTGGGTTGTTGACACTGATTTTCTCTGGTGCTGGTTGATCTGAGTGAAAGATTCCCCAAGACAGAGCCTGAAGTTCATCAATGGCAGATTTCATCTCGTTAACTTTATTTTGGTCAATCTTCTTAAAAACCTCTGGGTTAACAAACGTCTTTGGTTCATCTGGCCAGCTGTCTTCTCTTATAAAAGTTTTTGCTGGTCCACCCAGAAAGTTTCTTTCATTGGTAAAAACAGCCTCTCCTTTACTTCCAGGCTCGTTTCTCATTATTACATCTCCGTTGCTATCAAGTATTGCCACCACTTTCTTGCTGTTGTCTTTATGTCTCCATTGCAGCCCCTCTGGAGAGATTTCCTGAGTGATTTTCTTTCCTGTGTGTGTGACTTGGACGAGAGCGTCCCTCACATGAAGCTCTGTCTTGATG